GTGGTCGCGGTCGCTTACTGGATGTGGATGTGTTCGTTTACAGGAGGTTCAGACTACAAGCGCTTTGACTTGATAATATATTTGGTGTGTTGAATAAGTGATCGCTTATTGGGAAGTGGTCACTTAAGTTGGGTGGTCGCACGAAGGTTTGACTGTGCCTCGTTAAGCGAAAATTTGTTAAAATGTAAGAAAAATCCTAAAATTGTAATACAGTGGAAGCTCTCGTACGAGGGCGCCCTCGGGACGAGAAAAAGGTGTCCTTAACTGGATCTGGCCGCTTACAAGAATGAATCTCATATGCAGAATAGTTATGCAAGTGGAATTCAGCCACTTTAAAAGTGGTGTAAAGGTTAGATAGCCGTTTACGGAAGCTCCTCCCAGCTACAAATTAACACTGGTAATAGCAAAAAAAACTGTTTTTTAGTGTATGGTTGCGCTGATGTTCTTGCCTTGTTGTAATTTAGTTAAAAGCATACAATTCAGTTTGTATTTTCAAGTGTAACCGGAAGAGTATGTGAAAAAAACGGTAACTCTGAAATGAAAATATAAGAATGATTCATAACAGTGACAAACAGCCATATGACTGTGGACATGATATGAAAAAAACAACAACAACAACATTCAGAGGCGGATAAGATTTCTTTCGAGTGTCTGCTTGGGAGAACTTTAAATCAAAGCTAACATCTAATTCGCCGGTAAACCCTTTAAGTGTCCGCGGCCGCCTACGGGAATGTAAAAATCCAGAGTTTGTGTGGGAGTTGAAACGGTATTTTGTGATGGCGGTCGTAAGTAGAGCTATTCGCTATATACGAGAGTGTCCGTTAAGAGAACTTAATCTAGTGTATGAATCCGCAAATGACAGCTTAAATGAGAAGTGAATACAGTGTATTAGTCTGTGTTCAAGAAACTGTTCTCTTACACCTTCCTTATAGCCAAAGAAGTCTAGCCGACTCTTTTTGCAATGCATTAGTGCCCCCTTTTGGGTCTTTTGTATTCCTCAGAAGTTTTTCCTCAACACGTTTATGAACGGTTATTATTATATTTTTGTAGTCAATAATATACCCAGATACAGATACCAACCTGTATAATTGTAAGACTACGAAGATTAAAATACAGCTAAGTAAGTAATTATACCCAGTGGCAAGTCATTAATTGTCTAAAAATTGCATGGCACGGTCTGACTACAAAAAGGGCTATTATGGACCATTATTATCATGGTAATTAATGTCAACATCGAATAAACTCAAAATTTCAAGTAACACGACTTTCACAACCTATTTTCAACACACCACTTTTAACAGGATATTGGCGGGTACAACAATAGATAGCGTATTCCGCATTCCGGAGTCCGGTAGTCCGGCGTCACAGATTCCATCTTTTTGGCAGAGTCTAAAGTCAAAGATGGAGGGTGTTCGAGCAGGTGGTTGTTTTCTGTAGATATAGACGGATTGTCGGTGATCCTTCTTGTCCTTTGAGAATGATTTTGTTCTTTCTGACTACAACTCATTTCAAAGACTTCGAATGTTCGGTGAAAACCCGACACTTTTAATTCTGCAATGTTTCAAGATGTTTCGATTTCATTACCTCGTCACGAAGTAACGCCACAAAGGACCAGACGAAACTGGAGCAGCAAGTTTGGACTAAAGCACCTTAGAGACATGTATGTGACATTTATTCACTATCTTTTATCCTTATTGGGTCTTGTTTCACCTACAAGTTGGACCGATCGAAGTTTTGAACTAACTCTTTTACTCCTTGTGTTTACTCAAGCGTTCCGTAAAATATCCATCCAAACGTCCATAAATAACACAGAAAACATGCCTCAGGTGACACGTTCTAACAATTCCGCTTTTAGTATCGATAATGACGCATCTGATTTGTGACTTCTCGTCAACTTTGTGTTATTTTTGTTTAAAAAAACGAATGTTACGTTTCTTCCAATTTTGGTCAAATGACAAATAAGCGTCAAGTCAGATGTACATAATACGTCATTATTGGTAAAGTATGAGATTGCCCAAATATTTTATGATTGATTTGATAACCTTAAAGATGTCTTTCAAAGAATATGTGAGAATTAAGTACATAGGTTGTTGCTCATGGGAGATGTTAGCCACTAAAATACCTTAAATTTAAGTTTTGGTCAAAACAGTGAGAAGATGTCCTTACATTAGGCTAAATAATAGGAAGAGATCGAATTAGAGAGTAAAAATAAATTACTGAGCATTAAGTTTGATAAACATAGAAGATGATAAAGTTGATTAGACTTGAAGTTGTCTTTTCTTCTTGTTGAACAGCCAAACCAAAGTCAGCTAATTAATTATGCAAAAATGAGTAGATTTTGTCGTTTTTAGGGGGGGTCCCTGTAAATCCCAGGGAATTCAATATTGCGACCTTATTTTTTGTCGAGGTTAATATCTCACCACACCCATCAATTGTGCCAAGTTTGAGCGAAATCCGTGATTTGAGCATTACCACCTCCTGCCTGGTTCTCTCATGGACACACTCTTAAAACTCAATGTTTGTGAGGTCGTGTGAAAATAATTACAAAGACCTATCATAAAAATAAAGATAAAACTGCTTACAATAATACATACAACTACGATAAAAACTCCAAAAAGATGAAATAAGATTCTAAAAAGATATGATGTGAAAAATTGAAATTAATTTACACTTATCTAGCTACCTGTCAGTAATTGACTACACCTCATTTAAAACATATGAGTATGTTTCTACAAATAAACAAGACAATTAAATACGTTTAGTCTCTTACAACATTATGAAAGTAAACATGATCCTCATACTAGAATGAACAACCTAAGCGGTTAAAAATTAACCTGAAAAAATTCAGACTTGACCAGGAATCTAACCCTGGCCTTTTCTCTATGCACTCAAGTCAACTGGAGAGCTTGGCATTGTGATTTCGTAATATACCCACTGGTGGACATTACATGATTTGAACATTACTTTTTGATGCAGAAGTTAATATCCATGCACTCATAATTACGGCGGATATCTTGTCACTTCCCCTTGAAATATTTATTATATTACAATTTATGGCCTGGTGCTACATCCTTGGGCCTAATAAACACGAAAAGAAAACTTACATTGAACACATTAAACAACAGCGCTAGCAAAACCCGACAGTTGCTTCCGAAGAAATTGGCTAGGATTAAAGATGAAATATGCTGAGTTTAGTTAGCCAGTGTTTAAAAAACCGTGTTCTGAGCCGTTTTCAGTTTGCCGAAAGCTTTTAAGTTAACACCATTTATTGACCACCATTTACTGAGTTTAGATAGCCAGTGTTTAACAAAACCGTTTTCTAAGTCATTTTTACTTTGCCGAAAGCTTTTATGTTAACACCATTTATCTTGAAATCATTTGTCCTCTTAAAATATCCCACTAGGGAAGAGATATGGAGGTCCAAAGATTTCCTAACCGCGGTCTAAGTTAGACTTCGTTTAAATAACCGACTCCCAGACATATCCATTCCAGTTCATGTATGGACAACATTCTGCTTCATTTTCAAGAATTAAAGCCCCTTGTATTCAGAACTGTTTTATCTTCTACGCGTCTTTCTGTTCCGCATTCAGTCTATCCTACCATACATTGTATTTGAGCAATTTGAGCTAAGTGCCCCGTAACTTAAATACGTATATTATATAGGACGGTTGATTAAACAGAGCCTAACCTAAGAAAGTCAATGGATCGCCTGGCTCTGAATTCGTATATAAAAATTTCACTCATTTTTCTGGCAAGTTTCTTTCCTTCTATGGAAACCGTTGTACAGAGAACATTGATTGATAACTTGTCATACGGCAGAGATCTTCCAAAAAAAAGAAAAGCGAAACTGTACTCCACGCACATTATTGTTTGATACAGAGCTGCATAATATGCCTATTAAGGTGTCGGTTGATATCACGGAATTTAATTATTACAATTCACGGTCTCTTAGTGACACTTCGGGTCTTTAATACAAAGGGAAAAACTCACAATAAGGATGGATGAGTTTGGATCGTCCAACACGTTCTATCCATCTGCTTCAGTAGGATGGAACGTCTGAAAATCGTCTCCGGGACAAACGTCGATCTTTGATTCAACATAACTTCAGTAAACTTTCCTCATTTCACATTGAATTACTTTCTTCAGGGCTGTTATTCGCGCTTAACTTTTGTTTCATACCAACGCCGTCTAATCCCATCCTTTATTCATGCCGTTATTTCCTGGGTCCGGTTCCTGAAAGGCCGGTTAGCGCTAATCCAGGATTAAAATTTTGTTCCGTTTTTGTATTTTACCTTCTTATGCATTGCTTGGAGTAACATTTTGTGTTATCACTACTGCATCTCGGAGTAAAGGCTGAACAGTATTTTGTACGCTTGAGTTGCATTTTATTAGACAAGAAAACCTTGCTTAAAATTTGGCTTAATTCTGGATTAAAATCAACCATCTGTCGAGGAACCGGGCCCTGATGGATAGGTTATTCCTTTTACGTTTCAATTTTCGAATTTGTGGAGTGATTCATGGTAGATTATCTCTAGTTTTTGTTTTGTTTTTTTTCTATGGGGAGTGTGTTCAGAGGCTTGAACAACATTCCAAGCTGGGAGGAGGCCTTCCTACTTTCCAGTTCTCCTCTCGGCTTGTTACTTTCTCCTGTTCTCCAAGTTTATTGAAAAGAAACTTTTAAGTCTCGGAGCACCAGTCTCTGTATGTTATGCATGCCTATCCGTTTCAGATTTTCACTGAGCTCGTCAGTACACAGCGTTGCAAGCAAGTATACAGTGTACCTGATTTTCATCCACAATGAATTCGTGTTCCCCATACTGATAAAACGTCGTCTGTTAACCAGTCTTTAACTGACGTGTGAATGAAGTAAAGACAATCATCGAGTAGTGCAAACACAGCCCAATGCGCTCAGTACTTTACGTTTTGTTAGTGGTAAATCGGTACCTGGTACTAATACTTTAGAAACATCAATAAGTACGAGTACATTTGCACGAGTGCATTTAACCTCGTTCTGGAAGATTATCCTTCCAATAAAAGTATTTTTCGCTGAAGAAAAGGACATGTTCTCCTTTGTCTCTACCAAACGTTGGCTTCTCCAAGCCTCTCCAGCATTTCAAGGTGTAGTTTCCTATCTTTCGCCACACACGGGTGATTTGACAAAAATGTTGTCGGGGGTTCCTGGAAATAAACCCTATGGCTTTGTCATAGGCCTCTTTGCGTCTCAATCCTGTTTTCTCAAATACCAACTTATCACAGATCACAGAATGATCTGAAAAATAGCTATGCTGTAACCAAATCATAAATACATAAGTAAATAAATAAATACGCATTATTATTCAGTCAATATTTCCCGATTCTGACTGGCTAAAAGCACACGCATAATTCACCATGACCAGCTACTGATGAACAAATTTGGAAGAATTTTGCGATTAATCAATCGATGACGTCAAAAGTGCAGCTCCCTTACAGGTTAATGCACCATTGACCAAGAAGACCTTGAAGAAGAGTTGTTCTGGTTGTGAAAACAAAAATGGTGGACATTTCACTCATTTCAAGAGTAAGAACTAGGCGAAATAATCATAATAGCTAAAGACATGGCTAGAACAGCAAGAAGACTACTCGATAAAGGGCGACATCTGCTATTTAGAGAATATTTGCCGAGCTGAACAACCCTTAACGTGCACTATCGAAGATGAAGTTAACATCGATGGAGGTAAGAGTGTTTTAGCTATGTTTTTAAACTAGGAATTATTTTGAATGAGTAATAAAACAATTATTGAATTCGGCTTTCGTATCATATGAAGAATTATGGAGATCGAAGAGGGTGTTATCCAATTCGGCCTACGGCCTGGTCGGATAACACCCTCCGAGATCTCCATACTTCTTCATAAGATACTCAGCCTCATTCATTAATTGTTAATTATATGCAAGATTTAAATAACAGCTGCATTTTCCTTCACTGGACGTGATCTTTTGGAATTGAAAGTTGATTCCATTGAAACTTTAACTTGGCAAAAAAAAGTTGATCCAGCTAATGTTAAGTCATATAATTTGTTAATGAGTTAGTAAGGCTATTACGTATACAAAAAGCATGAATTTGATTTGACTGACCGCGACTAATAATCTTACCTCTTTTTCGAGGTGGGTTTCCTTAATACCCTGTAACTCGTTTATCGCTTCTTTCGTCTCTTGGGCTCTTTCTCTTTCAACTTTGCTTGCATCCCATTTGGTCTTCCTTTCAGATTCGTCTATGGTCCAAGTATTTTTAAGGACTCGAGCAGCCTCCTCGAAAACACCTCCAAGATCTTTAACCAACTCCCACACAGGTATGTTGATCTCCACGTTACCACGATCAATCAAAGCCCAATTTGAATTGTAGGACAGCAGTTTGTGGAAGGTTGCAGGATTTGCTGGTGGTCCCATGGAAGCTTTGGAATATGAAAAGCACAACTTATTGTTTTCTTCTTTGTGCTTCACCTTCACACTCTTACTGCCAGATACATTTCCCCCAATTCCAAATGTCTCACTGAGAAAACGAATAGACATTTGACCTTCAAGATGATTACTGGCAGCCTTTTGTAACGTTACTTCGTCCATGTTGCTTTGGCTTTCGACATCTGCAATGGTGAAGAAAAAACCCCCGAGAGTTTGGGTTCCTGCCGGAAAATGGCTTCCGTATCGTTTTAAGAAGCTTCGAGCATCATTTGCAAGCTCGTCGTCACTGGCGTCATTTGCCTTTTGAACGAGGCGCATTGCGTCTTCTGTACATGCTGAAGAAAGTCGTATTTCTTTCCGATCAAAGTGAAATGTTTTTTGGCTGATTCGAGAGAAATATACGGCGGATGCACTGGTTTTGCACGATTTAAAATTGTTAAAGATTTGGCTTTGTTTTTGAATTCCTGCACCAGCCTTCATAGATGGGATGCCATTCCAACCAGAAGCGCACAAATTAGCCCTGCAGCTTAACTTCGTTAACTTGTCGACGTAATTTGAAGCTAATCCCTTTGCGCAGAATGATATACATCTGAAATCCTCCTTTTTCTCAGGATTGGCAAAATTTACGTTTGTAGGCTCCCGGAGAAGTTGAGAATCTGTCGGTTGTGGCGTTTCGTACTCAGAATGATAGAGACCACAAAGGGCTCTACCTTCGCTAGCTTTTTTGATGACTTCAACATTGCTTTCGTATTCTTCAGCGGCCTCCACTGCGTTGATGCAATCTTTAGTCATTTGGATAAGTGATCCAAGTAAAAGGTTTTTTTTCTCTTCTTGATTAAACCAGTTTTCGGGAAGATCAAGAGTTTTCACCACCTCTTCAGCGATTTTTTCAGAAACTTCGGGTTGATTTCTGGGTGCCCGTCCTTCAGCTTCATTCAGCAATGCTTGGGCCTTAGCCAGATTTTGCTTATCAGCAGCCTTCCTTTCCGGCAGGAATGTTTTACTGTGTGGAACAGAAGGCAGCTGTTCACGCTTACTGCGCTCTTCGGTGTACTGGAGGATAACTTTAAAGACATCGTTTATTTCTCCTCTGTCTGCCCCTTTGCAGCACTCTCTTAGCTCATTTATTCCTAACCGTGAAAGCTTGTGTAGGGAGGGTGCTTTTCTACAAAGATTCTTCACCCATTCCTTTAATACATCAATTCCTTTAGCTTCAAGCTTGCATAGCACTTCAAGATATGGCCCAAGCCGTCTACTAACATTTACTGTGCCGGCTTTTTGCAGCTCTTCTTGTTCATCAGAAGTTTCGTTAAGATACTTTGCAAGTTTTTTAACATTCGTTAGATGATTTAGCACAAGATTCAGTGCTTCCTCTTGCAATAACTCACTTTCCTCCAGAATTTGCGTTAGATCGTCCGTTAATCCCTGGTGAGCAACAGCTTTTAGCTCTTTAAAAAGATTGTCTTTTTCCATCGGATCTCCCATAGACGATATCTGGTCATTTAGCTGTCGAATCTTCTCCTGACATTCACACATAGAATTGTTGTTTTGAATGTCAGACATCTCGCGTCTTATTTTGCGTATTTTGATTTTCCTTTTCTGCAGAGACAAGGATTGGCACAATGAGCTCCCTTTTTTGTCCTAAATACGACGAAAAACGCGTGGCAGATTATGACTCTCGCTGCTTACGCCAGCGAGACTAATAATATCATCAGACTATTAAGGAACCATACTGCATAAATATAGCTTGTTGCCAGTTAGAGCACAAACCCGTCAAGGGACAGTAATTATTTGGTTCTCACCAGCTTTTTTATGGAGAAGAGGGTTTCTTAACGAGGATCATTTTACGTTTCTGGGAAACTGCCCACCTACCCATCCCCTAAGCCAAAATCAACACTTACCTCTCACTTAGGGCAGAATGTTGGCTTAGGGGAGGGGTAGGTGGGCAGTTTCCCTTGAGGAAGCAAAAAAAAAGTTTGCGTACGCATTCTCTAGTTGACACGTGCAGCTCAGACTCGCTCGACATATAGAGGTGCCTATCCGGGTGGCCATGCGATTTACCTCCAAAGTGCGCGGAGTGTTTGAAATACAACATTTCACCCTTGCCCACATGAAGTGTTGGATGAAGTACGTTCGAATGATTTTGTCTGAACCAAAATTTCTTGGATGCATAGATCGCAGAGTAAAACAATCATAGAGACCGTGTGGAACCCTCATACACCCCATTAATTATTTTGACTTTTGACACGAGAAATGATTTTTCCAGTAGTAGTCGGGGTAGTCCAGTAGAAAAATTTTAAAAATAATGGTCGAAAAACGCATGATTATATTAGCGCTAAATTTAGAAACTTACCAGTTTATCAACAAGAGTTCGTTTTTCTTTCGAGGGTCTCAAAGCGTCGACCCGATCATGAAGCTGCTGAATCCGTTCTTCGACGTTGGTGGAAAGGTCGTCTGGTAATTCGGAAATTTCGCGCCATATTTTGCTTATGTTCATTTTCCAGTGCTGTAAATAAATTTAAAAAATATTATTATTCATAAAAGCATTTCTCCGTTTCTGATTGGTTTAGATCACAAGTATAATTCATCATAACCAGCTACTGTTGACTAAATTTGGAAGAATTTTGCCATATTGAACCGATGACGTCAAAAGTGCAGCAAAGTTGGAGATCATTGAACCGTTAACCGAGAGGACCTGGAAACAAGGCTTAGTTGTTTTGGTGGGAAAAACAAAATGGCGGAACGTTTCACTCGTTTCACCAGGAAGGATAGGCGAACTAATGACTAAAAACGTAGCAAGAACAGCTAGAGGACAACTCCAAGGACAACATCTGCTATTCGGAGAATATCAACCTCGTCCCCAGGGCTTTTCTCTCAAAAAATGGGTGGGGCGGGAAAAGGCCCTGGCATCGGCTGGTCACTTGTCCCCTTGTACACCCTAAAATCCTGGGTGTAATAAATTAGCGCTTTGTGAAAAGCTAAAATTATGCGTAACCTCACAGCGCGCGATCTTGGACGACCTTTTATATATCTTGAAGATTAACGAAAAGTTTTACAAGATTTCCTTTTTGTCACAGATACTGGCTATGGTAAGTTTTTGCTTTCCTCCAATTTCTGTTAAGGGGACAGCGAGTAACATTTGTAAAACTTCTGTTTATAGAGCGGTATAAATGACAAACAAGCTATCGTACATACATAAAGGTTGTACTGGAAAAGTCCGCTTTCTCGACTCTACTAATATTTTATTTCATTTCTTGCGAAGTGGGCCGCCGTACACAGCCTAGTTCTATTCCCCTTAACTCTCAGCCATATCAAAGCGACACGTGTTGGTTTAGACTTATCCTGTATGACCCTTATTTTTAAAAAAATTGTTTGACCTCAGGCGATCAAACGACTAGCCCCAAAGAAAGACTTGGGTCCATTTAAAATCGGCAGAGCTGTAGTTGATTCCAATCGATCAGTCAATCTTCTCTTTAATATAAGGAAAATCCTTTTTACTTATCCTCGGAAGGGAAAAGATACACAAGAGGTCTTCAAATGTTTCAGATCGGCGACCTGTCATCGTTCCTGGCTGGAGGGCTGACTTGCATCCGGCGCGGAGATTTATTTGTTTCATGGTCGGGTTGTAGAGAAGACCAGACTCCACAAAGCTTTTGATGAACAATTCTATTTCATTTAAGTTCAATTTGTTTAAATTCACTGCAGATCCTGGAGGCAAAGGCCCGCATTTTTTGTTTGACATTGGACAAAATCACTTTCTGCTTGATCGTACAGTAATTCCACAGTCACGATGAAGTTCAGTTGAAGTGCTAGTCGATAACAGCTTGTCTCAACTCTGAAGCATTTGACATTATTTTGTACGTGTCAACGTAGAGCCGGTACGCCTTTTCATAAACTTCTAGCATATGAATAATGCGCAATTTTGAATCGCACACACGCGAAAATATTGACATAGTTCGCGATGTTATTATTTTCCACTGTTACTCCCTTCTGTCAGCGCAAATTCGGGTTGCATATAAATTAGCTTCGCAGGAATATTTAGGCTGTACACGTGACCAGCCGATGCCTGGGCCTTTTCCGGCCCCACCCATTTTTTGACGGAAAAGCCCTGGGGACGAGGTTGGGAGAATATTTGCTGAGCTGAACATTATTTTTTTCCTAAACTTGCCGATTAACGTGCACTATCCAAGATGAACGTAACATCGATAGAGGTAGGCATGTTTTAGCTTGGTTCTAATCCAGGAATTATTTTGAATGAACAATAAAGTATAAAACACGCTCTTAGAACTGCATAATTCTTCATTTCCTACGAGAGCCAAATTCAGTAATAATTTTAAATTGCTAACTAGTATATACACACTCAGTGCTCTTGGTGATTCAAGCAATCTGATTGGTTCGCTATCTCGGACTATGACATTATATTCACCGCCGTAGGAGGCGAATATAAAGCAAAAAAAGTTCTGTCGTGAACTGGGTGTTTTGCCAAAGTTTCAGAGTAAGAACTTTTTGAAAATACAACAATATCGTAGTGTTGATGATTCTGGGAAAATTCGTGCACTGTCCAAAGTATTCAGTCCCAAAGAAAATATACTTCCATCGAATCCAACATAATTTTGTCAAGCTTAATGAGCTATCTTGCACAGAATTGATAATTAAACTGAAGAATCTACAGAACTTTTCTCTAAATTCACCTGACACTTGTTTGAGACTGAAACTCTTAAATCGACAGGATAGACTTCGTCTAAGGGATTATTGAACATTGGCCGCTTGTATTGTACTATTGTCTGATTCTCACTATTCGTATTGGTAATAGTATAATTTGTAGTGATATTTGGCATAAATACCACTAGTGATATTTCGAAATTGTTATACGTAATTTCACGTGGCGAAAATTTGAGACAATTTTGAAATATCACTAGTGGTATTTATGCCAAATATCACGACCCGCAAAAGGTTTGTAATTTTCACTTGTAGGTTTTCAAATTAGGCTGAAATACCACTGCTCTAAGCCAATCAAATTGCAGAAATTTCTGATGTAGGAGTATAATCTGGTATATTTCAGCGGGTTAAAATACATTTTATTTTTTTGATTTTCAGTTTTAGTATAGGGAATAGCATGATTTGTAGTAATAATTGGCATTAATACCACGAGTAATATTCTGAAATTTGAGACAATTTTGAAATATTACGAGTGGTATTTATGCCAAATATCACGTCCAAATCATGCTTTTATGGTTTATACTACTACCCGCAAAAGTTTTGTAATTTTCACGTGTAGGTGTTTCAAATTAAGCTGCAATACTACTGCTCTAAGCCAATCAAATTGCAGAAATTTCTCGTGAAGTAGTATAAACTGGTTTATTTCAGGGGGCTAAAATACATTTTAGACCGCCAATTGCACCACAATTCCTAGCCTGCGGGAAGTAGAAGCTTTTTTAGCTTTTGTTACACCTGCCGAGAAAATAGCTGTTTCTTGGCGGGTGAAACAAGAGCCGAAAAAGCGTCTGCTCCCCGCAGGCTACACAATGCTCGAAAAAGTGATAACAATCGATATTTATTTATTCTTTTATTTATTATCTATTTGCTGAACACACGTTCATTCACATGGTTGACAAGTAGAACTTAAAGAATGAAGGTTGATGGCGAAACTGAAAGGTTACCTGGCTATTGACTGGGCTATCCTAGAGCCCTAGTTAAAACTTGGGGATTGAACACATAAGAATCCCCACAAAGTGACTCTTGGTTGGGACCACAGGTACCCGCACCCGCAAGGTAACCCTGCCTGTCCAAAGTGGATTGCCCAGTCTGCTAAGGACAGAGTAACCCTGTCAGCCGGGCTGAAATTTTGCAAAACTAGCCAATAGCGCAACTTATGCTTGCGGTGCTGTTTTTTTTTTTAGGAAAATAGATAACAATTATGCTCGTAATGACGAATTATGCCAAAAATTATGCTACCACAATCTATTAAAGCCTCGGTCCCTCACCTCCATGTAAACACGCCCCAAACCTCTGCCCCCAAGGTAGAAGAAATAAGTTTTTTACAGTTGTTTGTATTACATAAACGATTTTAACCTTTTTGTAGGTTGAATGTCTGGGACTGGATTACCAGCCTCCCCTAGACAAGAATAGGAATAGGTCGGGACTGACTTGGTGTCTTTTATGTGCTAAGGGCCTTACTGAAAAGGCAAGTCTACTTGGCACAGCCTAGCATACGTCAGGCTGGAGCTCTGACCATAGCATTTAAGACATGAAAGGCCCTACTGGAAGAAAACCTACATGTTTATTATGCAAGCGTGCATTATTTAGTTAATACTTACAATATAGTATCCCATAGCGAACAGTTCGGCCAGGAAAATACACAACAGACTTAAGTAGATCCATTTCATCTCACTGGCCTTTCCTATGGAAAGTAATGAGAACAGAGCACGATCGTAATAGATATTAAGAGCAAGATATTATTCCTTTATTAGACTAAAATCTTTATTTAACTATCGGGGTTTAGCAGGAAAATACTCTTTCCTTATTTAGTAATATTATAATGCCGGGTCAGTTCGTCATTTACTCTTTCCCTCGGGAGAACGTTAGTATCAGTAATTAAGCGACTATTCTGTATGTTTTAAAAGACTCTGAAAAAAGTTGAATTTTGAGCCCAAACACACACGGAATTACTAAATATAATTTACACAGCCGGAAAGGAGTTTTTGTAAATTAAATTAGACCTTTTTGCAAAAAATGATGAACTTAAAAGTTCCCGCACACTGCATGAACAACATAAACCTTACTATTCTACCTGTCAGCAACACTGAGAAGAGCTTTTCTCTATAATTGGAGGGGTTATAGAATAAATGTTAAAGGCCTGAACTGTCCAAAAAAAGAGTTATGTCGTGAAGTTTCTTTGAAAAGCAGGTATATATACTCGACAATAAATTTATTTTCAATATATAAAAATTCAGTTTGCCTTTCAAACTCACCCTAAGCATGAACGTCACAAGTTGAGAATCCCTTATACTGCTTTATCATTTAAGGCAAAAAGAAAAGGCAGCCTAGCAATGACGCCCTTTAGATAATTTTATACCACAGCACAAAGATTTATTAACTGTGATCACGTTTTAGTTTTCACCAGATTAGTTGAAAGATTACCTTTATTGCTGCCGGCCCCCTTGTTTTGCTCAGCTCTTTTCTTATCTTCTGCAACAGGTGTGGGCATTTTTTGTGACTAACTCTTATCTAAGTTTGAGTTACTGTCTTCCGAACGGATTGACAGAAGCTTTCTTTTCCGAAAATGGATTCCTTCCACTCTTTCTTGCCCAAGATCTGTTTCACTGACAGGGTTGGAATGAGCATCAGAATCTCTTCGGGGTTGCAAATCGTCTACAGAATGCATGGAACAGGCAGGGTTTGGTGTAGCAGGGTGTGAGATTGCCTCAGATTCCGTTGACCGAGTTAAGTTTGCACAACCTGTTTGCATCAGTTGCGTAAACTGACTTGAGCCTTTTCTTTCATGAAATGGATAAACAGTACTGCTTTCGGTTGCATCAAATGACGAGTGTAGCGCCCAGACAAAAAAATATTCTTGGTTGGCCTTAAAAGAAAAAAAGGTGAAGAAAGAAACTGAAACACAAACGTTTGTCCACCAAGTTTGCGATAATCTTGAGGGTAATTACAGAGCATATACACTGAGTGTTTTTTATTCATGATTACGCAAAAAAACTGCTTTTACAGACATGACGGATTTGGTATAACGACACCTAGCCAGGAATCAACTTTCGGAACAAAGGCATCTCCTTTTGAAAACCATTTTTGAAACAAAGAACTCTTTGTCCCAAACTGAGTGTCCAGCTGGACGAAGAAGCCAACAGATAGAGTATAGCCAAAAGGTGGTCTTGATGGTAGCAGTGTATAATTCCTTAAAAGCGCAAACCTTCAATGAAACGCTTTCGTAATTTTATGCCCCACGCCCCTCTCCCTCACCCCGCAAAAACGGAAATATGCCGGAAACCTCTTGTAAATGAAAATGGTAGACCAATATTCCCCTAAACAGCGGGGCCTCATACATAGTTTTTTTTTTGCTTAGTTCCAACTGGGCAATTTTAATTTATTTAACTGTGAGAAAACTTCTTCACACCAATTCGATTATGGTTTTCGTCATGTTTGGCTTGGCCAAAATCTTAGACGAAAATGTCATCTCAGATACATAAGTGTGTTAGCAGTGCCAAACACATATATATTTTTTAATCTGTGTGCAGATGTGTGCGTAAAGGTTAAATAAAAAATCATTGCATATGTTGTTATTTTTCACTTTCTTCATAGAATTTGGCTAAAGAAGCTGAAACAATTACCATGAACAGGATGTCTTTTGCATCGCCGGTGTTGGCGCCTCGTTCAAAGTGTAAGATGGTATAACCCTCTTCCCCGGTTGTCATGACAAAGTGGTAATCTTGGCTGGAGTCAACATGAGGTGAAGACTGGCCAGTGGAGAACATATCCTGTAGGAGGAGAGAAAGTTCTTTGAAAAAGAGAAACATTTAAAGGCAAATTTTCTCAGTTACACTTGTGATGTCCCTTGAGCCTACGACACAAGTGGTATGTTCACGAGTAAATTAAACTCGAGATAGTTGTAGGTTTGTTGTAGATGATATTATTCGGGTTGGAGGTTTACCATAATCACATAATATGCGCCTTTTGTCACTTGGACTGTGCAATTCGACGAAACAAATCCGGCACAGATTGTCTCAAGGAAAGGAGAAAAAATGATAGAAGCACTATCACCACCGTCCTTACACCCAGGTGCGCATAGGGTACTGTACAATATTCGTCCGTCAGCCTTTTTTTCTCGTCAAGATCACCTTTAACAGGATCTCTTGTTTTGGTCTTGTTGTAAGCCGCGCGCCAGACGCACAACCTGGAGTGTTTTCTGACTCAATCAATGGAATATTAAACCTTTACTAATACGCTAATGGCTTAAGGTTACGGATATCTTACTTTTAACGTCAGTTTAAGAGATTTTTTTTAATTTTTAAGTTCTCCAGCATTTGAAAGAGTTCATCGACCGAGTAAAATGGAAGATGTTAAATGTAAACAACCGCAGCTTCTGATGCGTTACATGTGGTCTTTTAATTTCTTTTCAGTTACAGCCAACTAACTGACAATTATGACGTCAATCTATACAGCTTTCAATGCAAAAATCATTCAGATACTTGTCATAAGTATGTTCTTCCACTTTGTCGGATTGACTGACGCTCCAGGGGACCGTTAAAAGCATCTCATAACAACCATAAACTATATTGATGATACTATGATGCATGGACCACTTGAACACCTCTAACTCAGTCATTAATACGTTTCTGCTTTTATGAAACTTATGATTGGTTCTCTCAGAATATAGTGTCCCTGATTGGACTGTCACATCCAGTGAATGAATGCGCCATTCACTAACACTTTCATTATCAATTACCAAAGTTTCGTCAGGGGCACCCAACGACAATTTTTGGAAAATATCTGTTCGGAAGACGATTTGAGATCTAGAATTTTCGGAACATTTGTCGTTAAATTTCTTGCTTGCATGCCTCTCCTAGGATTTTCGAACTTCCCAAACATGGTATAATTGCCCATTTTTAACGGATTTTTACCGTAAAAAGGTGACCTAGAATTTTCAGGAGCCTTTTCTCTGGCTGAAATTTTCGATTAGGTAAGTTTTGATCCCTATAATTTTCGGATCACTAGACTTTCAGGTAGGAAATCCGAACAGATGAAAAATTTTTAGGGGATAAAAATATGCCTACATCTACCGTTTAAATACTAAAATACGTTCAACAATGCTATGTTTAAGTGGGTTTGAACTATATTCTCGTTGGGTGCCCCTGTTTCGTCTCTTCTGAACGCGAGCAACTTTCTCATTTCGGTGTTGCGGACCTTTTAAATCTTGGAGAACAATTAGAAAGCTTGCAATAGAAAAATAGTACCGGTTGTACTGTTTAATATATCAGTCATTATATACTCAGCCAAGTGTTAAAACACCGGGTCATAATTATTTTATGTATTATCGTTCTGAGAAATGACAATTTGTTCGTTTTGAGTTAGTAACGAGGGTAATTCAACACAGTTACTCAAGCATTTCGCATCTTTAAAAATGAGCTAGGTTCTTAATTTAAGTAACAACACATAAAAAGTAAAAAGCTTCACAACTCACATAGATATATCCATGGCCTTTCTTATACCCAGCAACAATAAGGCCTAGGTCATAATCTCGCATTTTATTTGGAGCAAGACAAGCGAAACCAAATCCGACCCAGCCAACTGTAGAAGCCTTCACAATAAAACTCCGTTCTTCATCAGGAGATACTTTAGTACTGGTAAATAAAGCACTCAGTTGCGTTAGCTGCGTAAAACAGACCCAGAAAACAGCAGAAGGGAACACTTCCATGTCTGATACACGAATTTAAGCCTCACTTAGCTGAAGTTGCGCTTTGTGGACTTTGTCATGCAGCAATTATGAATTCATTCTGACTAGTTAATTTACTCCTAAGCGTGATCGAAGCGTTGTTTTTACGTACTTTGCCTCACTCAGTAGATAGCAATCACCCATAACGAAGTATGAGACGTTGACTTAAGAAATAATGTAATCGATTTTATATTGGAATCTCATAGCAAAACCTTACGTCCATAAAAAAATGTTTGAACGAAACCTGATACTCAGAAAAAAGATTTACATCAGTCTCAGTGGGGTACAGCCGTCGCTCCTACTCATTTACTTCCGGATATCGGAACACCTGTTTTGGCAGAAAACCAGAAACGTATCCGTTTTTCAATTTCCGGTCTTATGTGTGAACGCGGCCGCGGTTTAGTCAGCTACTGTTAGAGAACCTAGAATGATACTGTTTTCCAACTACGTCTTTGGGAACCAAAACATAGCAAACGCTCAATTGGGGGGAGGCCAGAAACAACATTTATTGACCAATTAGAGAGTGACACCGGTCATTCAGTCTCTTAATTAAGGCAGGATCTCGCGTCTGTAATGACGAACATAAGGGAATGGGACAGACTTTTAAAATAGGTGCAAGTGCACCCGAAAAAGATAGATAGAACACACGCCCTCTCTGGTTACTTGTTATAAGGCTATGTTCCCACTATAGCTCTTGCGCAGACAAGAAGGCCATAAAGCATAGTAAGGCCGGTTTTTTCTTGGTTTTGCGGAAGCTATTGTTGGTTCTTGTTTTAGGTGCGGGTATTGGTCAGTGTCTTTTGAACATTTCATGCCTCATTTTGTGATTACACTCGTCCGCAACACCAATATCTTACCAGAAACCCTGCCAACATACTACAAAGCGAGCCGAGGTTTTTCATATCATCCTCTTGATCAACAGTAAACATATTCAGAGACGTATCGGTTAATCCAGGCTTAACAACTACAACGTCACAGGTTCAGTACATAATGATCTCACGGCTTACAGATTTCGCGCTTTGATATCGGATCAACTGTGCATGTGTCATTAGGTTGTTTGTATGACTGAACTAATACTCGTTGAAGTCTTCTCTTCTTTTATCTCTAAAAATTTAGGGTAGCTGCACTAAACCTCGAAAGGACTTGGTAAGAATCATTATTAATAGTTAGAGTTCCTGATCATGAGCTGTTAGCTAAACAACTTCAATGTTACAACAGCGTCCAACGTAGTGAGTATAATGCTGTATTAAAGCACTACAGTACTAATCCAGGGTGCAAGGCCGGTTAAACGGCGGATTGCATTCGGTTAATTAAGTGCCCTGCGAGCAGAGGCTACATTTTCTCTGTGTGAGCTGGCGTGCGAAAAGTAGCCTCTGCCGACAACCGTTCAATTTTCTATCGTGCATGCGCGAAATTTGTCACGCGATTCGCAAGCAAAATTAATCGTCAGGTCTGTCGTCAAATAGCGCGAGTTTCGCGGGAATAAAAAAAATTACCCACAACTCTGGCTGCTGGCGCGTTTGTTTGTTAATAAGGCCTAAAATTTGCCAAAGGAAAATATGCCACCGATTTCCTCGGCTATCTTCCTTCTGAAAACGTACACGCTAATAACCTGAATTATTATACATTCAACTCACTATCTCTTTTCTGATTGGCCGAAAGCGCACAGTGAATTTTCAAAGTCAGCGACTGGGACGTCATCAAGCTGCAGATTATAAAATAATCATGTCAAGGTAAGGGTTATCAGCCTCAGCCTTCGGCGGCCTGATAACCCCTACCTCGAACTTGATTATTCTGGATATCACAAAAACCTCATCCAATGATTGTTCATAACTATAGTAAGTCGTGCCTACTTCGTGGGGAGTGCATTGTCCCAAACGAAGACTAACGCAAGACTTAAACGCAATGCTCTAAACCGGTCAAGAAAAAGGAAAACCCCGTTTTTTTTTAATTTATTCGTCCAGATTTTTGGACGGATTCGAACGGTTGTCGGCAGAGGCTGCTTTTCGCTTGCCATCTCGCACTGCGAAAATGTAGCCTCTGCTCGCAGGGTATTAATTAAGCGGAAGAAGGAACGATTTGTTTTCCCTTCAAAGGCGTTTCTTTCAAAAATTTGAATTTTAAACCCCATAATGAGCAAAAACAGTAAAAGGAAAATTGATGAAATACATGACTCAAAACTTTTAACAATGGGGTATGTGGCATGAATGACAATACTTGTAGATTTCTTGTGCCTACTCATCATTCGACTCATCATCTCGCGGGGTGAATCCTGAAGCATTGTTGAAGGCTGAGGTTGAAATCCTATCAAGTCTTCGGAGCCAAGTGCCCCTATAAAGAGGTCTCCGTAAGGATCAGAGCGGCGTCAGGAAGAGGTTCGACCGTATTATAATCACGTTCTCCTTTCGAATGATGTTTGTCCCTACAGACTATAGCGTATTGCTTGAAACGAAAGTTGTCAATTTTAGTCGTTGATACAGACTCGACTTTTTAAAAGCAAAATAGGTCACAAAATTGTGCCACTTCCTGAAATGATGTTTAAAAAAGCAACGAGCATTGAGCGAGACCAGTTGACACCCCAAGCAACAAGCCGTCATTCTGACCGGCTGAATCCAGTTTGAACATTCATAAGTTGAAGCAATTTCATACCTTAATTTAAAAGAGAAAATTGAAGCAGAAAGTTGGAAAGTACGGCCGATAGCTATAGATATTTATGCAGTCGCGTCATTAAATGTAGGTTTCCTACTTTTATGCTATGGTTCCTGTATCTACATCTATATACTTGTTTTAGATAAAATATGTTTGATTTCCTCAAATATAGCAATCGTGGCTGATTTCCATTCCGGTAGATATTCAGGATCAAGTAAAGTTTGTTTCTTTCAATGTCCCACGTTCAGTTCTCTCGTTTCGCTATTGCGGAATTTTTGAGAGCTCAAACAATTTTAAAATTTGCAACAGAATGAAAGTATTGGTTGTATTGTATGATCGATCGGTTACTTGATTCGCAAAATATTTGAGCGACGGAAAGGCTCATGTTCATTGTCATATAATTGTGTTATTAGTATTATGAAAATGTAACAATTCGTTCACTTTGCGACATTAGCAACATTAGGCTAATTTTAACATAGTTACTCAAGCGTTTCGCACCTGTTTTAAAGATCTAACTAAATATGAAAAAATACAGAAACATATAAAATAACTTTAAAACTCACAAAGATGTATCCACGGCCTTCCTTATACCCAGCAAGTATCAGGTCATAGTTTTGCGTTTTATTTGGTGCAAAAAGAGCGAAACCAAATGCGACCCAGCCAACTGTAGAAGCGTTCACTGTAAAACTCAATTTGTCAGCCTCTTCATTATAGCTCCACGAAACTAGAATCCGTCCTTCATCCAAAGATACTTTAGTACTGGTAGATGAAGCACTTGGTTGCGTTAGCTGTGTAAAGCAGACCCAGAAAACAGCAGAAGCCAACACTTCCATGTCTGATCGTCACTTAGCTGAAGTTGCGCTTTGTGGACTTTGTCATGCAGCAGTTATCAATTCATTCTAAGTAATTTATTCCTAAGCGTTGTTTTTACATACTTTGCCTCACTGAATAAGGAGCAATCACCTATAACGAAGTACGAGACATTGACTTAAGAAACAATGCAGGCGATTTAAAATTGGAATCTCACAGGGAAACCTAAAGTCCATAAAAAAGAAAAGGTTGAACGAAAACTGATACTCAGAAAGAAGATTTACATCATTCTCAAAAGGGTACAGTCGTCGCTCCTACTCAATTACTTCCACTAAGATCGGAACAACTGTTCTGGCAGAAAACCTGAAACGTATCCGCTTCTCAGTTTCCGTTCTAATGTGTGAATGGGGCTACCGTTTAGTGGCTACGTTGGAGAAGCAAGAATGAGATTGTTTACCAACTACGTCTTTGGGAACCAAAACATGGCAAACACTCAATTGGGGGAAGGGGGCGGGGAGAGGGGGCAGAAACAACATTCATTGACCAATTAGGGAGTGACACCGGTATTTCAGTCTTTTAACGCATGATCTCGCATCTGTAATGACCAACAGAAGGGAATGGGACAGACTTATAAAATAGGTGCAGGTGCACCCGAAATAGATAGATGTGTGAACACACACCCTATTTGGTTGCTTAATATGAGGGCTACGTTCCCACTAGAGCTCTTACGAAGATAAAAAAGACATAAAGCATAGGATCGGAAAGCCAAATTTTTCTTGGTGTTCCAGAAGCTAAATTGTTAGCTATTGTATTGTCAATGTGGGTATTGTTCAGTGTCTTGTCAACATTTCATGCGTCATTTTGTGATTACACCCTTCCGCAACACCAATATCTTACCGGAAGCCCTGCGTACAAAGCGAGCCGAGGTGTTTTCATATCATCCTCTTGATCAACAATAAGCATATTCCGAGACGTATCGGTTAATCCAGGCTTAAAAACTACAACGTCAGAGGTTCAGTACATGATGATCTCACGGTTTACAGATTTCGCGCTTTGATATTGGACCAAAGTGATCAACTGTGCATGTGTCATAAGGTTGTTTGTATGACTGAACTAATCAGTGCACTCAAAAGGACTTGCGAAGAATTAGAGTTCCTGATCATGAGCTGTTAGTTAAATAACTTTAATGTTATAACAGCGTCCCATGTATTGAGTATAATGCTGTATTAAAGCACTACAGGACTAATCCTTGGTGCTAGGCGGGTTAAACGGCAGATTGCATTCGGTTGATTAAGCGGAAGAAGGAACGATTTAAAAAGGCGTTTCTTTCAAGAATTTGAATTTTAAAGCCCATAATTAGCAAAAACAGGAAAGGGAAAGTTGTTGAAATACATGACCCAAAACTTTTAACAATGGGATATGTTGCTTGAATGACAATACTTGAGGCTTCGGTGGAACTTCGGAGGCGGGAGTTGGCCTTAAGCCCCCGATTGTAATCCGGACGTTTTCCGACCTTTCCTGGA